TTCTGAGTACATTCTGAAAAGGACAGGTAGGTTGTGCTAGCCAATCCAGCATCCCAGAACTGTCATTGCCACAAAAAGTGAGTTGTAGAGAACATGATAAGCTAGCAAAGTGTATGTCAGTGCTCTTGTAGAACATCTCCCATTGTAATATTTCCTGGACAAACTAGAAATCTGACTGTTCTCCAGTCCCACAGATCATCCTTGCCTGAATAGAATCATACATGAACTTGATTCACTTCTGAGCATGCTCTGCCCTCACTTACATTGGCATCAATGGAACTGCACTAGAAAGGAAAAGTATAGGGGTAGATCCCATAGAAACTTCATGTCTCAAAAAACTCAGTTCTACAAGAAGACTTGTGCACCTTGACATGGGTTGCTGCACTGTGGAAATGAATTGATAGGAAATGCAAAAATAAGACTACCTAATAAGCTAGTAGTCAGCTTACTTCCCAGGAAAGCACAAAACCCAAATGCCGACCTATCCTTCAAGCAGGAGATTCTAACACACCTCTCATGCTTTGCAAAAGAGTGTCCCGACCACCACCAGTAGACTGGGGGGATAAAATATATGTAAAAAGGAACAGAAGTATAGGGGACCAGGCACTGACAATTACAGGGAGCTTTATCCTGGAGTTTTTGAGGACAGACTTGCATTGCCAGACCCTACCCAATGGCTCTCCATGGAAAATCAGATGAGCAGTCCTCATTCATTTTGGGCTGTGTTCCTTCTGCATGCAAACCTGTCTTCCCCCCCCCTCCTTCCTCCCACTGACACTCGAAGGCGGTTCTGCCGTATGTTGCAAGGCACTGCAAAGAACAGTGTCACTTCTCAGGTAATTAGCTTTTGTGGCCACAAACTCCCCTACTTGTCTCTCTCAGAGCTCACCTTCCTGCTGTGAATGTAAAACACTGTCTCAGTGATACACACCTGCATGGAAATGCATATACATGAACTCCCAAATAAGGGATAACTGCTGCAAAACATAAGTGGCTCTCATGAAACAAAGTAAACAGCAGCCACCTTAATAATCAATTAGACGGAGCAGCCACCTGATGTAGCCTATTTGGAGAAGTCCCCAGCTTCCATCAGCTTTGCCTGTGCAAGAGCAGCTGAATAAAGTTTGTGTCACGGTCATCTTGACTAGGCAAAACACCCTTTTCTGCCTCTTGACTCAGTGATGCTTTCCCCCTTGCTCTAGTTCCTAATTAAAGCCATGAATGTGGATAAATATCATATCCAGTTTTAAACCCAACCGGGTCACCAAACTGTGCGCTACACCCTGTTCTGCAATTAAACTACTCTGTGAAACACCTCAATTATAATTAAAGAAGCAATTATCCCCCTGCTAAAGGCCCCACAAATCACACATCTCAATGCAAAAGTTCGCCTAGCAGCTCTACGGCATATTAACCAATCTTACATCTCATTTGCTTTTTGATCTATAACCTATCCCAATGAGCTAATTTGATGTGACTTAGTGTCTCTAACTATATTTTGTCATGTGCAAGATGATGCTGGCATCTTTCAAGTAACAAGTTAAATGAGCTAAGGGGTTAATTCTAATAACTCTGTCATTACTGTTGGAGCATCATAGATTAGGATCCTTCCTGCCTTCTCCAGTTCTGTTTGAAAAATGCACACACAGAAAAGAGTGGAATTGAAATGGATGCTTCTGTTGCTGCCAGGGAACTGCAACTGTCTGATTTCCACTGAGCATGAGGCTGGTGGGTCAGACTACTTATCTCACCACTTCATCCTATTTCTCTCCATTGAGGAAAAGCAGAAGGCAGAGAAGCATGGAGCTAGGGCAGGGTGCTGCTTGGTTTTATATCCGTACTTTTTTTTTTTTTGTCACACGAGGAATACGCGAGTTTGCCTCTTCACCCCTCAGCTATGTGTGGTAACCTCAGTGCAAGAGCACCTATGTTGATCCTTCTGCTGCTTTCCTGAGCCATGCACTGGAAAAGCCAAAACATTTACCCAGGTGTTTCAGAACCTCTAGGTTAGTTCAGCTTGATGTTGGGTGTAAAACTGAGAGTGGGGAGGCATGCCACAGTGGAGCTGGCACCCATGCTGGTTGGGGCTGGTGGGCAGGGGTATATGACTGCAGAGAAGCTGATCTGGTTTTTCCAGAGACCTCAATTCCTTACTTTGTCCCAGGGGAACAAACAAGATGTACTTTGATTTGACCTCTGGCCATGAGGCTAGTTGTATTTTAACACATCAACTTCCTTTTGGATCTTGACTTTTTTTTTGCTTTTCCTAGTGTCCATAACCGGAGACTACTCTAGTGCTTGTCATGTACTAGCGGATCTGCGAGACAGGTAAGTGTTGCCTTTACCTGCCCGTCTCTGTCTTCGTCCTTCTTGCCCTTCCGAGAAGCTGTATGCTGCTATGTGGTTCAGTTTTGCACTAACGGTGTGATCTGCTCTAGCATTGATCCATAAGAGCTTGACATGGTTAATTAAATATGTTGGGAATTATAAGACTGAATTCCCCAGATACTGAAAAGAGCACAGAATTTATCCCTGACCATGCTTGTTCCCACCACTTTGAAATAGCAGGGAAAAAAATCCCAAACAAAAAAAAAAAAGGCAATTCACAATGAAGGGGGAGAATCGAATAAAAGAGAAAAAGCAAGGGAAAGATGCTGGTACTTTGGACTCCAGCACTGCACTGCATTACACTGAAGGTCTATTTTGTACAGTTTCACAGTGTAAGCATTTCTTCGTCTGTTTTGGTGTTAAATCCAGTGACTACTTCAGAAGCCAGTAAGTGAAAACCCCTAAAACAAAACACAGTGACCAGAGTGTGAAGAGTTTGATGCACGTGGTCACCAAAGTATTTGGAAAAGCTGATCACAGCTGCATTAACCCACTCTACTTGGAATCAAAGCAGTCTTTCAACAAGATGGAAAATAGCCTCAGACTTCTGCTTGCCTTCTCCCAAGTCCTTTCTTATAGTTACCCGTACCATCATATCAGAAACTTCTCCAAACAAATAAATGAAGTCTTAAACAAAGAACTCATTCATCTTTAAATTAAAATAATCATGTAATCCTCCAAACTACCAAGTTATCTTTCATCTTTCTACTTTTCTAAATTTATCTTACCAGCTTCAGCAAGTGGCTGTAATAAAGTGTCACATTAAGGTATTCATATTCATTAGTGTTCAGGTCTTTGTTCTTTTAATAGTGTTGGAAAGAATCTACAAAGAGGCTGTATTAGGCGGCTGTCCAATCTGGGTGTTTGATCTCCTTCTGACTTCAAAAGTCAGAAGAGGAAAAAAACCCAACAGTGAGAACAGTTCTTCTGAATGTCAGATGGGGGGAGTACGATTTCTGAGTCTGCCAAGTGTTAATTGGTGTCTGCCCTGACCATGGTACAAATAAGATTCAGAGCCAGTCAATGTACCATCATGAAGAGCTATTGACAGAGTGAGCAGGATACTGGAAGGCAAGAAAAAGCACAACTGTTATGACAGCAGCTCACAGAGGATTTTTTCAGAGATCACTTTCTATGAACCATGTAAAATTGTGCTCTTTGGGTCCCAGCCACACGACTGGGTATAACAAACCCTTCCGAGGGAACAACTGGACTGGCTGCTGAAATTTCAGAGGCGCTTGTAATACTGCATAAAAACAAACTACCCGTCATTAATCTCTCTTTCTAGCAAAAGTAATGAAGTTCCCCAGTACAACCCTGCACTGCCTGAACAACAGATCCCATTGCAGAAACAACTGTCATGGCACAACAACAAGTTGATTTGATGAAAAGAAGCATCAGAAAGGAAAATAAAACCCTGCTGCTAAGTTCCTGAGGAAACCCAACTGATTAATACTACGGTTATCAGTAAGCTGGCTTGGCAGACCTAAACACTCCTTACAGTTTTGAAGGTCTTAAAGGGGAAAGAAAACAGCCTAGAGAACAAGAAAATGGGAAAAATCTTCTAATTATTCTTTCTGATGTTTGTGGACATGTGTCTGCAATTCCAATTAAATCTAAACTTGGGTTAGATGGGGAGGTAACAGTTTAAGCTTCATCTCCTGAGAAATCAGCCATCAGTGCTGCATGACAACCACTTTACTACTTAGCCATGACAGTCTGACTTATCCTAATGCAAATTGGCAACAGTTTCTTCTGTGCATGGTAGAGGAAAACCGAAGAGAATTCAGATAGGGGAATTACCGTCATTAGCAATCAATTTTTCTCTTAACAGCCGCAGCGGATTCAGGATTTCAGAGGCCCCCCTGTGACTCAGAAATCCCCTTTCTGTGAGCTGTGAGTCTGAAGCTGGAGCCACCACCGCACTTAGAGAAGCTGCTGTTCAAGGGGACGCTCGCTGCTGTCCTCAGGCACAGATTTTGCTGAAAGGCCGGCTGCCTCCTGCGGTGGAGGGCAGGCTACCCACTCTGAGTTTACTTAAATGCCAGTAGGAAGACCAGATAAGTTCCTGAAGATGGATTATTAGGCAGACACATCTCCTACTTGCCCAAACCTCCTGCTGCTTCACGTGGGAGCCTGTATTGGACCTTGGTACATCCTCTTGTGCCAAGTTGGCAGGCTTATGCCTGCCCAACATGAGAGAAATATAATCTGGCAAACTAAAAATTAAAACACCTTTATATCATTCTTGCAAGGTGCCTCTCAGAATAAGTGAAATAGTTTTTTTCTTTAAAAGGAAAAGGAAAGAGAGTGGGCTGGTATTAATATGTTCCACCTAGTGGAACATCTAGGTGTCCTTCAGATGCCAGATATAATTGTGATTTTTCAAGGGGAAGAAAAAAACTGAAACCAAACTCCCTGCAGCTCTGCCCAGCAAGGTACCGTAACCCAAAGCCATTAATCAGTTCCCAGTCAATCTTGTCTGTAGGCAGCAGTCAGTCAGCTCTCCATTACCACCCATTCATCATGCCATGCTCTGTCACTGTACATTAGCCACTGATCAGGCCTTAGTTAGGATGTGCAAGTGCCAGGACACTGCTGTTGCCGCTCACCTCAGCTACTGGGATGCCTTCAGGGGGACGGCATTGGAGCAGGACCTCTTGCTCCAGGGACACTTCTTTCCCCAATGGCTCCTGCTCAAAAGTTTTCCGGAGATCTAGGGAGAGAGAAGAAAAAAAAGTATTGATAGTACTAATAGCTGGTAATTTAAATTACATTTGATTGCCATACTGAATGAACGCAAGAGACAATGAAAACAGCAGTTCTGCTCCCTGGAAAGTAAAGCACTTAAAAAAGGGTGGGTCATGTTTTTGCTTCATTCCAACATTAAGCAAAGATTTCATAGTGGATTTATTATTTATATTATGGTACAGCATATGAATCCAGTGAGGATCCAAGGCTTCACTGTGGAAGGTGACATAGAACAAAAAGTGCAACAAGTCCCTTCTTCATAAAATTTATGTTTGGTAAACTACACCAGTGAAGTACTAAAGAAAGTTATGGAAAATAAATCAATCTGTAAAACTAAAGCATATAAATTGAGTTGCCTTAAATTCATAGACGAAAATGCTTATGCTGTGAGCTAATGTACTATTAGCTTATAAGCTTTAACTTTACAGCTTTAGCTAATTTGTCTACACCTTATCATTATCCCTGTAGCACTAAGTTATCATTATTATTATTAATGTAATAATAACAATAATCATATTAATTACAATAAAAAAATAGCAATGTGGAGCTGAACCATGCTTGGATCCCTCCATAGTACCATAGAAATGCAGTAGGGTGCATTTCTCCAGAGGTTGGACCAGTTCATTATACTGGAAAGCTGTGAACTCTGGCTTTCTTGTACTCTTCTGTAATATCTTTGCACAGATGGTAAAATGGACTTCAGAAGTTCCCTCATTACCACCATCTCCGTGTTTCTGCCATGCACTGCCACGCTCTGTACTGTGCCAGGGAGGACAGGGCTTTGGAGGACTGAGCATTCAGCCCCAGTAGCTACTGGGGATATTTCTCTCTGCTCCTCGTTCCTGCTGCAAATGGACATGAGGCCATGTTCAAAGTCACATCAGAGAGCTGGTCTGACTTCAAAAACTTTGCAAACCAGTTATTTTTATTTTACTTTTTGTTCTGAAGTCAGACCAGTTTCTTATGTCAGCTCACAGTGAGGCTGCACAAATACTTGTGTCATACTGGAAACAAGTCATAGTCATATGGGAACAATTTAAAAGCCAAATATTTCATATTTTGAAGCCATAACCTGTGACTGCACTGAAAAACAGATCACTGAATTGAACCGGCTAACAAATAAACCATCCAAAGAGTTATTTTTCATCTAGATTACCTCCGAGATCTAATTTAGAACTGACCCCACAAGGAACTGCATCAGCACTACCAAAACGCAAAACCCGGGGCAGGCAAATGTACAGACAGAAAAGGAGATGGAGTGGCTGCTACTAAAATCAGCTCCTCTGAAACTCACCTCTGGGTAGCATATCTACACTTAGCCTGTATTGGGAAAATGTGGTTATTCAACTATCTGGAATTAAATGTCAATCTAATTGTACCATGGAAAAGCTCTGTCACAGCTGGAGATGATCATTTTAACTTAAGCTGATATAGCAGTAAACTTCTAACATCTTTAAACCCAAGCATTTCACAAGTGAAACTGAGGCATCTTCCCCGGCACCACAGGCATGAGAGAAGCAACCCCACACCCTACTGCTTTCCCACCATTGACATTCCTAATCCCTCTAGCACAGAGGGTAGGGATACTGAGAGGCCCTCTGATAGGACAAGATTTATGGCCACAGTTAAAGGCACTGAAAGATAAGCTTTGGTAGATCCCGCTGTGGCAATACAAGAAATTACTGTCTCCAGCTCTCTGCTTGTTTTGGAGTTACTCTCTGTGAAAAGGAAGCACGTGCCAATGTCACAGCTACCTCACCACAAAATCCACCATTTTAACCTCAGTTGCTGCTGAAGGGGGCTTTACCCTACAACACTGGATAACTTACACCAAAGACGAGGAGCAAAAGTACAAATGCAAATGTTTCTTAGGATGACATGCCAAGTTTCACCGGGCTGTGCCTGTCAGCCTGTTTGTCACACTGGAGTTATTCCAGACGAATGAGGCTTGTTCATGTGAGAGCAACCACAGCAAGACAACTGGCCAGATTAGGTCAGATTTCTGTACATAGCTCCCAATACATTGCCAGATCCAGCATCATCAGCCCTCCTCCAGCTTCATCCCACCCTCTCTGACAGGCTACTCAGGGAAAATTTGGGTTGTATGGCTCAGTTTGAGTAAACCCAAATCCTTCAGGTGCCCTGTGGGTAGGAGTCATTAAAAAACCACTGAGTTTGGAGTGGTGTACTTCCACACTTCAAAAACAGAAATGAGCAGCTCTTTCAGGAACTGGCAGGTTTCTTGGGAAGTTACATTATTCCTTTGGCCCAGGCTCCTCACCCTTCCTGTGGGCTTGATAAGTATCCTGGGCACACATAATGTCAGGTTAATGCAATTTGCTTTAAGTTAGCAAACAGCTGGGGTTGTGTAGCTAGCAGTACCCATATGATCATATCACTGCTAGGTCCACAGGTATTTTCAAAAGAAAAGAATTACTTCCACATCTGGTACACCCTAGTGCATTTAGCAGGTACACACACGTGCACACTGCAGACAATTATTGTGCTCTAATATCATGGCTGAGGGTAAATGGGAAAATTACCATCACAGTAATAGAAGCATATAAGCACAGTAACAAACAGTGTATCAATAATAGCTTTCAGGTGTTCAGATATGGAGGGATGAAGACAGCAGAGGTAGATTCAGTAGATAATAATCTGATTTTTTTCCTAGACATGCTGATTTACTGTTCTGCCAACCTTCCTGAAACATTTAATAGAACTCTTATGTTCTACATTGCCTCACGTGCACAAAAACCACACCTCCCATAAAGCACTTGCCTTTAAAAAAACCTTCAAATTTTAGTGTATACAAAAGTAAATAGTATTAATCTAGAAATGTGTAATAACAGTAAAAAAAAAAACACTTTAACCTCCTTATTATTAACAGCTGTAATTTCTGCAGTGGGAGTAGCTGGAATAGTTGCAGCAGGGCTGCCACAGGTGAGATGAACTCTGTGGGACCCTGGGTCTCCTGGCTGCCCCCACACACGGTGCCTTGCTGTGTGAAGTTGCTTTAATGATGCCATTGGATTCAAGTGGGTCAGTGATCCACGAACTAAAAATACACTAAGTAGAGGCCTTGACATAACAGGCAGAAACGTTCTCAAAGGAGCCATTAGGTACTACTGAGTAAATTATACTAATTTGTGGGGGGGGGGGAAAGGTGCATAATTGTTTACTTACAAGACTGAGAGCTCTTATATGATATTCTGTTGGCTCCCTCCCACGTGTTCACAGCTTCAACCCACCACTTCCCACTGCAACCATGTCACCTACAAATAGCTACAGATGGCAGCAGTGCAGGGCAGGTTTGACCTAACCAAGCATAAGGCTGGCTGGTTGTGACATGCACAACTTAACAAGATGGGGTTTTAAGTGATAAAGAAGCAGAGGGCCTGGACAAACATCTTTATCACCTGCTGTAACTATCATAAAACCACCCGCTGGGACAGCACTGGATTCTGAAATGACTGGGTTTTTTCTATGCCCTTGCTATAATTTCATTGTTGATAATAATGACATCCTTCTAATTCTTCAATCCTCTGTTTCCTTTGCCATGTAACAATTATAGTCATCAGGGAAATCTCACACTGTCAGTCGGGACTGGGTGAGCTTGCTAATGTACTAAGGGAATTTGAGAAAGTGAAAAATGTTATCGAAAATGCTCTGCTTGGGAAAGATCCAAAGTGTCATATATGTTACAATTGTTTGAGCAAGGACAGAAGGGATACATTTTTCCCAGAGAACGTCAAGAGACTAATAGAATACATCCCAGTTTAAAAAAAAATAATTTAACAATCTTCAGATAATATGCCTGAAAAAGCAAATCAATAAAACATTTGATCCATTCTGGATCAGGACCCCTCTGTCTACGAAGAGATTGCATTATTAAATGTGCATTATTAAAGCCTCAGGTCGGCAGCAGTTCTGTTGCTGAGACACCAAGAGAGCACCTTCTCCACCCTCACATTCAATAGAGGAAGACACGAGAGAAAGGCAGTTGCATTTCCTTTCCATTATTATTTTGGTAATGTAGAATAATCCTGTATTGTCTGTGTTAGAAATACTCTTCCTCCACTTATACAGGTAACATTGCTGCCACAGCTCATCTCTCCAGAGTGGAGTGTGCCTTCAGTGATGCTGAAGGGTCCATCTTGTCTCTCTCACCAGCTCTCTCACATATCTCACTAAGCTGCAGGTAGGGATTTCACTGCCTGGCCCAGGTAACAGGCTGCACCCCCATCAAGCACTTAAGCCCCACCTCTAACTTCCCTTCACGACTATCTTCCTAAAAAGAAACCAAGGAGAATAATTAAAATTCTGGTCTGCCACCTTGAGTCAAACTCTATTTTCCTTACTAATGCATAGTCCTAGCAAATTCAGACGGGGCTCCTGTGGTATGTATCGCAGCACGTTTACAGCATACTTAAGAACAGACTTTCCTTCAAGACTTCTGAAATACTCCTTCACAATCTTCTCTGGTAAGGACATACATTCAGAGCTGCACTGAAATGAGAGAATTTTCACAAGTATAAAACTGAAACAAAGTAACGGGAAATAAGAATCTCAGTGTACATCATATTGTTAGCTTTACTCCTGAATTGCTATGCTTTTTGAGCAAAAGGGCATTAGATCTACGTTTTGATGCACTGCTAAATGACTTAATTTTGTTTAATGCATTTTCATCTTACAAAAGAGTCAGAAGTTGCATTTTTGTCTGCTAAAGGTAATAGCTTATACAGGAAGTCATGTCATTTCCTCACTTCCTTTTCTACCTGTCAACTCCTAAAAAAGTGCAAAGAATGACCCTATTATTTTTTTTTAATCTCTTTGTTTTTCTGGGTTTTACTGTGATAGGTGGGTGGATAAAACTATAAGGACATCTTTTATAATTTCTGAGAAATGTGCTAAGAGGCAGACCAGACAGTTCAGCACAGTGCTAATGTAAGGGTGAGTAATGAA